ATGTAGTGTTTGTGTGTATTAGATACTGTTTGTGCAGTGAATGTGCAGTGAGAGTGTGTGTTTGTGTAGCGGATGCAGTGTGTATAGTGAACGCAGAGTGTGTTTGAGTATTGGATGTAGTGTGTGTACAGTGATGTAGTGTGAGTTTGTGTAGTGGATGTAGTGTTTGTGTGTACTAGATGAAATGTGTTTACTGGATGCAGTTTCTGTAGTGGATGTAGTGTGTGTATTAGATGCAGTGTCTGTATATAGTGAATGCAGAGTGTTTCAATTTGTGGTGGATGTAGTGTCTGTACTGTGAATACAGGATGTTTGTGTAGTGGATGCTGTGTGTACAGTTAATGCAGAGTGTATGTTAGTGTAGTGAATGCAGAGTGTGTGTTAGTGTAGTGAATGCAGAGTGTGTGTCAGTATAGTAAATGCAGAGTGTGTGTCAGTATAGTGAATGCAGAGTGTGTGCATAGTTTAGTGAATGCAGAGTGTGTGTTAGTGTGTAGTGAATGCAGAATGTGTCAGTGTAATTAATGTAGTGTGTGTGTTAGTGTGTAGTGAATGCAGAGTGTGTGTTAATGTGTAGTGAATGCAGTGTGTGTTAATGTGTAGCGAATGCAGAGTGTGTGTTAGTGTGTAGCGGATGCAGAGTGTGTGTTAGTGTAGTGAATGCAGAGTGTGTTAATGTGTAGCAAATGCAGAGTGTGTATCAGTGTAGTGGATGCAGTGAGTGTGTTAGTGTGTAGTGAATGCAGAGTGTGTGTTAGTGTAGTGAATGCAGAGTGTACTGTACTAGTGTATGCAGTGTGTGTTGTGTTAGTGTATGCAGTGTGTGTGTGTTGTGTTAGTGTATGCAGTGTGTGTTGTGTTAGTGTATGCAGTGTGTGTTGTGTTAGTGGATGCAGTGTGTGTTTTGTGTTAGTGAATGCAGAGTGTTTGTCAGTGTAGTGGATGCAGTGAGTGTGTTGTGTTAGTGAATGCAGAGTGTATTGTACTAGTGTAGTGAATGCAGAGTGTATTGTACTAGTGTATGCAGTGTGTGTTGTGTTAGTGTATGCAGTGTGTGTGTTGTGTTAGTGGATGCAGTGTGTGTGTGTTGTGTTAGTGGATGCAGTGTGTTTTGTGTTAGTGTATGCAGAGTGTGTTAATGTTTAGCGAATGCAGAGTGTGTGTCACTGTAGTGGATGCAGTGAGTGTGTTAGTGTGTAGTGAATGCAGAGTGTATTGTACTACTGTATGCAGTGTGTGTGTGTTGTGTTAGTGGATGCAGTGTGTGTTTTGTGTTAGTGTATGTAGTGTGTGTGTGTTGTGTTAGTGTATGCAGTGTGTGTGTGTGTGTTGCACACAGTCCAATCGCCGCTGAGTTAAAGTGTTCACAAAGTCTGTTCTCCATACAAATAGACTCCACGGGAAGGCTATCTGGGGTAATGCTGTTCATACGGTTTAACTACTGAATGAACAGGCATCCGGTTAAATGACCGAATGCAGAAGCAAGAAGGCTTTTAACATGGGGCCATAGTCCAAAGGCAACAGACGAGCAACCAGGCTTCTCCAATGCAATGTGGCGAGATTGGTCTCGTCACAGAAGGATATTCCATTGCCATTAGACTGTTATTCTGCTGTTTGTGAATAGCAGACTCTGCCAGGTAATTTGACTCATTTTAACAGATAAACAAAAAGCAGCCAAAGGGAAGAGCAAATTTGGCTTAAGAATTCAGAAATGGAAACATCAAATGTGGAACACCTTAGTAAAAAATACACAAATAAATCGCAAATATAAACAGATAGCGGTTATGTCATTTACTTCAGGATATCACAAATTCATCTTGTAAATAACTACTGGTGTCACTGTCTATGATTTAAAATTTTGCTCTATAAACTTTTTTCCTGCCAGCAATGCTCAGATAATCCAGAAACAGACAAGAGGTAAGGGGGGTTAAGAGATACAGAAGAAGCAATGTGGGATTAGACACAAGAAAGTGAAAGTGTTTAGGGGGCACACAAGTTTGAAAGGGGGAAACACACAACCAGAGAGAGGAAATACACAACAAAGAGAAGAGTGGGTGCAAAAACGACACACAAATGTCTAAAGTTTGGGGGGAGTGCCCACATAGATTTATGCCCCAGGTGACAAGTGACTTGGTTAGCTGACTTGCAGTTTGGCTATTTTAACCATAGATTTGAAATTCACATTGGATTCTTACTTTTGTGAGTAAAGTGCCATTTAACTCTCCAACTCGTAAATGTCATTTTGGAGTAACCATATTGTAATGGCAGGAAAAAATTATGACATCATCTAGTAGGTTGTTCCTCTTGTGTTTGTGATGCAGTTATTAAGACAATAAATAAATAAATAAAAAAGAATCTCCAAGTCCTCTTATGAAGTGGTTTTGGTTCAAAGATATTGTGCCTTTTCTCTGGCAAAATATTGCCATTTATAAGAACTGACAGTGATTACATTTTGCCTAAAATGCAGCTAGTGGCTGTCAGACCAGTCGGAGTGACTCCATCGTGGAGACTGTCCTGGTACTTGTTAAATAATTTCACACTTTTTACATTTTTTTATTTTTAAGCCAAAGGGTAATAATGTATGTTTTTTTTTTTACTGTACAGATACAATTTTCAGAATTGTAACCTGTGTTTTAATTGTCAAATACATAAAACATAACGTGAACTATTGTCATTTTATCAGCATCACTTACATTTTAATGCATATAATTATAGTTACATACAGTTACAAAAAAAAAAGCTATAATTTTGGAATATCTCCATTTTACAGCTCTTGGTCAGTAATATACCAAGTATGGGTTATTTCTAACAAAATAAGCTCAATAAAAAGCAGGAAACGTTATTGGAAATAGTTAAAAGTCATTTCCTAATCAACAATTGAGAAACAGGCACAGTACAGTCACCGTGAGAGGCAGCAAGTGGGGAATCTTGCGCTATGTGTTTTATACAAATGCACTTAATCAAGGACCTTAGGTAAACACAACTAAGAGTAGGTTGATTTCTAAATTAGGTATTATATTCAACCAACCCTAGGAGCGTGGGGATATAGCTGTATGATTAATACATTTGTGTGAGAAATATAAGATCACACTCCCTGCAATTCTTGCTTCTTTCTGTCTAGATTTTTTTTTAACGATGTGTATAATGTTGGAGTTTTCTAGAGATTTATTTAAAGTGGAACAGTCATCTAGAACAGCTTTATATTAATCAATGGAGCGCAAAATATGTATACACCATGCTGCAATGTCTTAAAATGATTTAGCAGTTCTAAGATCTTTGTTATAATACATTTTCAAATTACCTGCCTTTGAACATATCATGCTAGGTTACATTTCTAGCACATATGCTAATTAATTCCACTGTTCTCTCAAAGCTTATTGCCTCTGCTGGTGATAATTTCATTCGAACATTCCATTCAGGGTAAATGTAGAGAAAGACAATGCATATATAATAAGCATATTATCTAGAATGTTGGTTTGATTACCTACCAGGCCTGATTATTTCACATGTTTAGAAGAGGTGAGATAGCTCATTTGATTAATGCACCTTAAGTAACCGAGTAGATTCTCTATCAGCTAAAGTTCTGGTGTCGATAAAATGAGTACTGCTGGGTAATGCTCTATTTATCAGTGGTTGATTTAGTTAAGCTTGAGAATATGTACTAGAAATTTTGAGTCCCATTGGGGACAATTGTTCATGTAAGTATACTAGCTCTTCATAATCAGCTCAATATTGATACTTTGGGGTATCCTTTGTAATTATAATTCTCGTTCTTAAATGCGCTGCTGCATATACACCACTTTAAATATATTAATAAAGTTTACTTTGAAATAATATAAATAATTTTTTTTTAATCAGTAAGAAATACATGAAACATTATAACTGTTGCCACAAAGGGAATAATGCAAAAAGAAATAGAGAACATCATTTCTTTAAAAGAAAATGTATAAAGACAAATAGAAAATATTAATAAATAATAAAATAATGGCAATCCGTGCTATTTTATGGTTGAGAATCAAATAAAATGTTCTTAATACAAAAATATGTCAGTAACAGAAAGAGCCATACTGTTTGATATTAGAGACACAAAAAGAGATGTAATCTTAGTCAAATTTTATTAAAGACACAGAGGCTTCTATTATGCTTTCTTTTTCCTTTAATTTCCCTCAGCAGTGATAAGATATGTATACAAAAAAGAAAAATTAATAAACATAACATTGCATAGTAACTGTGCAACCAATCAGCATCCAGCCTGTGGTATATCAGGGGTTGCACTCCTCAACTCTTCCTCTTTCTTCGCTGCTCCCTCAGACCAGCTAAGTATACCTTTTGTTCTATTCTGCATTACTGTAGTTTGGAGCTTTTATCCACTTTTACTTGTATGACTACTATTATGTTCTACATTACTATATGTTTTTGTGTCTTTGTGGATTTTATTGAGTTATAGGAGTGTGCCTACTGTTTGGGGTTAATTTTCTGTCTGGGGTGTCCCCTCACCCTTTTTCCCCTCGGGGATCCCTTCCCTGCCTCCCTCTCGGTGTTCTTTTACATAGCCGAGGGTAGGCACCACAGTTTTTCCCCTGTTGCAGCCAGTCCCTTTCCCCGCCCACGGGAAGCCACCACCGCCGTATTCACACTGAGTAGGACGCTGTTTGTGTGCGCTTCCGTGCGCAAGGGACGCCGTACGTGGCCATACCTGAGCAAGCGCTCCAGCACACTCCCTGTCCCTGGTATCGTTATATTTGTGCATCTATCTGATCTAGGTTTTTTCCTATTGCTAATTCTTTAGGTTAGTGTGGTGGGATTACTCAATCCTTACCACTTATCAACTTTACCCTGTTTCTCCACACTCTGCCCTCATTAGCCCTGCTGGGCTAGATATAGCTATTTAACACCCACTTTTGGGGACACTGTGATTATTGCATAACAATATGCAGTCTTCTGGAGATGGGCCCGCTGGCCAGCCTCTGACTTTTACCGGGGCTCCTACCCGTTACCCCATGGATGACGCCACCTTGATGGCCTCAGTGGAATTTCAAACCCTGTTGGATGGGACAATGACGAATTCCATTAGTAAGGCCCTAACATCGGCCATGGTAGTCATGTCCTCCACTATTACCCAGTCCATTACACAGGCACTGATGCAGGCACAGCTTGCTCCCCATGCCCCTATGCAGAGAGCTACTGTGCCTAATATAACCTTGCCGGGCCACAAAGCCCTATGCAAGCCGAAACATGCAATACCCCCTCCAATTGACCAGGTGACCCCTGGCTTGACTGACACGCCTCAGGCTGTCCATGATGGCGCACAACAACTGTGCAACAGAGCCACTGGCCGGGCAAAAGCACCCAGAACTTGGAAATGGGTGAGAGCACAAGAGATACTGTCCGGATCTTACTTTGATCCTTATGAGGCCGAGATATTTGAGGGCGAGGACCTTGCATGGCAACAGTTTGCCTCCTCACTGTCCATAAAGGATCTGTCAATGGAATTATTCAACCTAACAGGTTCAGGCAAACTCTGGGACACTTAAGCAACCCCGGTGTTTGACCCAGATGAACTACACCACCCACGCTGTGCAGAATGGGAAACCCCTCTCCCAGGAGGGCCGTAATAAATTGAGGGCCGAATGCCCCCATCCTATTATACCAGATATGTTGGCTAAAACCCCTGAAGTGGACCCACAGATGGTCCAATTTTTTACTAAATCCTGGAAGTCTGGAAGCCGAAAAAGGGCCTTGATTTCTCACTGCGAAATTGCCAAGATAAATTCTTGCACACCCTGGGCCCAATTACCAAACTACACGAGCTGCTGGAAGTGGCACAGGCGGGGGAAAGCCAACTGGATTATGAGGTGGATTTTGGATGGCTTCAGTGCCTGGTGTGCATGGTCAGCAATGCCAATACGGCCATGTCCACCGAGAGCAGGAAAGCCATTCTCCTTAAGATAAAACCAAAACTGGCTAGCATGGCTACCAATGAACCAGGGGTGGCCATTAAGGGCCTATTATTTGGCAAATCTTTTGTCAAGGATCTGGGATCATACGTGAAAACTTTTACAGCGCTTAATAAAGCGCAGACCTCCATTAAACAAGTGTTTCACCAAAAGGTTTTTGGTGGGGCCGCAACTTCCGGGGCTCTAACAGACCAGGCAGGGGCTCTTTCAACCCCCCCTAGACCAGTGCAAGAACGCCCTTTCTTGTCAACGAGAGGATGGCCCTGGAATGCCCGCGGCCGTCGGGGGTTGACCCCAGGAAAACGTCCTTATGGTAAGTACTACGTATCCCCATTTTTCCCATGTAAATGTGGGGGGAAGACTAGCCCTGTTTCCCCTTGCCTGGACTATGATAATGTCTGACGCATGGGTCTTACACACTATCCATGGGTATCATTTAGAATTAACCATCTGGCCTGTGCAGGAAACCCCACTTCGGGTTCTAACGATGTCCAACGCACACCACGATCTAATCGCCAAAGAGATCATGGCGTTGAGATCGAAAAACGATATAGAGGAAATACCTTGGGATACACCAGGGTTTGTGAGCAACCTCTTTCTGTCCCAAAGAAGGGTAGGGGTGCCCGACCAGTCATAAATTTGTATCCACTAAATGTTTTCGTCCAATATCGGCATTTCAAGATAGAGGGCATTCCCTGCTTAGGAGATCTTTTGCTCCCTGCAGAATGGATGGTCAAATTGCACATACAGGATGCGTATCTGACAATCCCTGTGGCAGAGGATCACAGAAACCTGCTCCAATTGTGATAGGATGAGAGGAAATGGCGGTTGAGATGCCTCCCATTTGGCCTATCTCCAGCTCCCTGGTGCTTCACAAAAGTGCTGAAACCAGTGGTAACTTTTCTGAGGATACACAGGGTAAGATTGATCATTTACTTAGACGATATTCTTTTGCTGTCACAGAGTCAGGAACAACTAAAAGTCCATCTGACGTGCACCATCCACCTCCTTCAGAACCCAGGTTTCCGGTTGAACTGGGCAAAAATCCCAACACATAGAGTTTCTCGGATTTCGAGTCGATTCCGTGCAACAGGTCAGCAGAAAAAATATTGAATATCAAGAAGGAGATAAGGCGAATGATGAATCGTCAGTTCATCTCCCTCTGACAACTGGTGAGATTCATCGGCCTGTTGGCATCCTCCATCCAGGCAATATTCCCAGGACAGTTACATTACCGGGCATTACAGAGACTGAAAGCGTCCAACCTACGATGTGGTCACTCATATGAAACACACATTTCACTGGACGAAGAATCCAGGGAAGAACTGACCTGGTGGTTGGCCCACATGGAAGCGCGGAACAGATGAGCGATATTTGGATCCAGACCTAGTCATAGAGTCAGAAGTGAGTTTACACAGCAGGGGCACGCGTTGCGGACCCATATCCACCGGAGGCAGGTCTACAAACTAATCTTTTCTGTATATAAATTGCCTGGACCTATTAGCGGATTTGTTTGCCATTCACAGTCTCTCTCCCAAGAACATTTCTTTTCAATCCTTCTCAAACTAGACAATGTCTCTGCCGTCTGCTATATAAATCACCTAAGTGGAACCAAATTACGGGTCTTAGCGGTACTGGTTCGAGAATTCTGGCATTACTGTCTATGACACAATATATCCGTGACGGTGGAACATATCCCGGGCCTGGAATATTATGCGGCAGACTGGAACTCCCGTTATCTGAGGGACATGGGTGATTGGAAACTTCAGCCATCCATATCCATATCCATATAGCCATCCTCTGCGGACCCCTGCATGTAGATCTCTTTGCATCCCGACTGAATGCCCAACTGCCTCAGTTCTTCAGTTGGAGGCTGGATCCAGAAGCCTAGGCATTCCTTCAAGATTGAATATATTAACAATAGGTGTGGAATATGTGGCGCTGAGTAATTAATGTGAATAGTGTATTTTAGCTGCTGTTTACACTCTGTGGGTACTCCTAAAAGCCCACCATACAAAGATAAACACCAAAAAAACAAAAAAGATTTCAGACCTAATAGGTGTTACCACCCTTTAGGTCTTCTATCTTTAAGAGTGCAGCGCTGTATAGTGTGTAAAAACACAGTGAATTACCTGTGGTTCAAAGGCAATTATCCTTTATATTCTCCAATGTAATATACATACAAAAGAAAACAGAAATATATACAGATAATTGTGCAGTATATCTATTACTTTAGTGAAGTGTTTAGTGGGTAACATATATATCTCCACTCACATTTTTTAGAGCCTTTTCAAGTGAATAAGGCTCTAAACTTTCGTGCGTCTGTGTCTTTAAGGGTAGATCACACGACCCCTCTCTCCAGGTTCAGTGTGTATTTTCCTCTCCCCAGCGTATATAAAAGACACAGGATTATCCAACTAAGTGTAGCATCCTTTTGTAATATTTTCATATAAATAAAAATTAAAGTGCTCACCTCTAAGTGTATAGGCCTAGTGTCAATTTGTGGGGTGACACTGCCCCTTCCCTGGAATCACTGGTACTGGATACAGTGGATAGTATAAAATAAGGGAATTTATTACAATGTATATAAAAACAGTATAAAAATATTTCTAGAAAATAAAAAATTGGATAAGAACAAAATATTTCAAGTATTGGGGGTTCAGAAAAAAAACTTTAAAAGCCAAAACGCGTTTCGCCGGTAAAAACGGCTTCCTCAGTCAGCTTGTGAGTGTCCTCTTGATGTTCTGTAATTTAAGCCTCCAAAATCCCGCCTAAAATGTCTTCTTCCAATCAAAAGAGTCATGTGACGCGGCTAAAAAGCCGTCGCGTCACTTCCAGTTTTTCGGCACTACAGGTTCCAGAGTGCTTTGCGCCTAGCGCGTCACTTCCGGTTTTCGTCCGGTTCTTTATGGGAAATATAGTCCGTTCTGGGAGTTTTATTCAGTTCATATTAGAGCCCTCTTCGGCTCATATACAGTTTACAATGTAAATAAGGGGAAAAAAGGGGAAGAGACATTGTAGTAAAATGTTATTGTATATGCCATATCTGTAAAAAATGTGTCTTTATAGCATCCTACTTATATACTTCCATTTCTCCATATGTGTTCTAATTTTTAAAGAGCAATAACTTTGATTATATACAATTTGATCTCTTATCATATGTAATAGTGTCTCTTACATAAAAAACATGCAAATATAAACACAGTGGAAAAAGTGGCTTTTGTTTCAAAGTGTGCATTCTTTGTGCGAACATATTCCACCTTTTGTTCATTTTTAAAATACCAACTATTTTTTGTTCTAATCATTCTAAATGTATAAAATTAGTATAAAAGTAATTATTCTTTATTTGAAGCAGTGGGGATTCTTAAATGAAATGATGCTGAACAAAATGGGCCCAATGAGAAACGATGATGTTAATTGGTATATTTTATATATATATATGTAATCTAGTTCATAAAAAATGGCATAATTCAAAGTCCGCATTTAGACCTGTAGGGGCCAAAGTGTTAAGATCAAAAATCCATTTTGTTTCAATTTTTCCTAATTTTCTAATTTCATCTTCCCCTCGCCAGTTAAGTGTGACTTTCTGGATAGCCATAAATTCTAGAAATTGAGGATCTTTATTATGTATTAGGCTAAAGTGTTCTGAGACACTATGTTTATCATATCCTTTTTAAATGTTTCTAATGTGTTCATTTATTCGTGTTTGTAGGGGACGTTTTGTTCTACCAACATAGAATAAATTGTATGAACACTTTAAAATATATATAACCCTCTTAGAAAAACATGTGATCATTTGGCGTATCTTGTATTTTTTCTCTCCTTTAGGGTCATAAAATTCTGTGATGTGTCTTTTTGTGCTTTTTGTGCTTCTACAAGCTAGACACTGTCCACAGCCAAAAAAGCCTTCTTTTTGAAAAAAGGGGGTAGATGTGTTTTCTTTGATATGATTATGTGTCAATTTTTGTTTTAAGTTAGGAGCTCCTCTATATACTAATTTTGGTCTCTCTGGTAGTATAGAGTATAACATAGGATCGTTCCTTAGCATGGACCAGTGTTTGTTTATTATTTGTTTGATTTTGTGACTTTCTTGGTTGAAGTTACAAATAAATGGCAAATTTATATTTATATTTTTGCTTTTTGGTTTGTATTTTAGCAATGAGGTTCTTTCCATGGTTTTAACTTCTTCTATAGTGTTTGTGAGGGAGATTTCTTCGTATCCCTTTTCCATGAAATCTTGTTTAATTTTAATAGCCTGTATCTCAAAAGTGCTTTGATCAGTGCAGTTTCTACGAACTCTCATTAGTTGTGCTTTAGGTATATTTTTTAACTAGGGGGAAAAATGGCAGCTGTTTAGGTAGATATAATTGTTTACATCTACCGGTTTAAAAAAAGTTTTAGTTTTAATACTGTTATCTTCTATAAAAATAGTTAAATCTAAAAAATTAACACTTTCTTTGCTGTATTCTGTGGTTAATGTCACTCCCCAGTCATTTGTATTTAAAAAAGTTAAAAATGTTTTTAAAAGATCCACTGAACCATTCCAGATTAAAAAGATATCATCTATGTACCGTTTA